CAACTTTAGTTTTTCCTCTTCAGTAAGGCTGGTTCCTACTCTTGTTGTTCGGTCCGGCTTCTCATGGTCAATCTTCACTTCATGAAGGGGTTCTGTGGTCAGAACTGGTGGATCCTCCTCCCCCTCTTTGCTGGGAGGAGGTTTCTGTAATTGCTATTTTGGACTGGCAGAACGGATGGGATTTTTCCCTTTTCCAGCAAATTTCAAAATCACTAAATAACATTCTTTAGCTGCAACCTGGTCCCCATGTATGTCTATCGCCTTGGTCCCATCTGGACCTAAGCATCACATCACTTGATGCAAGGTTGATGGAACGCCCTAAACCCGGTGAATCCATCCTCTGCCCATCAAGAGGTTGTAGAATGGATGAATTTCCATGACCACAAAACTTTCAGTCAAAACTCGCTCAGCAGTTTGTACTGTCAATTCCACTATTCCAATTGGTTCCATTCGCTTCCCATCAAATCCGAGCAACGGATTTCCTGTGGGTTTGAGTTTTTCGGGTTCGATCTCAAGTCGGTCGAACGTCACCTTGGGCATGACATTCGCACTACTGCCTGGATCAATCAGAACTCTTCGCACAAGGCATTCTGCAAACATTAGACTGACTACTAATGGATCTTCATGAGGAATCTGAACACGTAGCAAGTCCGTTCTATCAAACTTTATCGGTGTGGACGCGCTCTGCTGGTGCAAATCATGCACACTACCAACCCTCCTTTTCAACTGGGCCTGGCGTAACTGCGTTCTGAGCAATTCTTCTGATTCTGTCGTTTGTTCAGGGCGGCCATGAATTGCATTTATAATCCGAACAGGCTGGGAGTTGTGTGGGTTCGGCCTCTGGTTCCGCTTGATCTGCTTAGTGGGAGGTTTCGCTCTTGCGCCGGACCTTGAACATAGCTTGCAAATTCCCCCTTTGCGATTATCATCTCTACCTGCCTCCTTAGGTTCCTGCATTCGTTAGTCTGATGTCCAAAATCACTATGGAAAGGACAATGTTTAGTTTGATCCCTCTGTTCAAGAGGTTGCCTGATTGGCAAAGAGGACGAAACTTATCTTTGTTCTCTTGGTATAGCCTTGCTAAGGTGACTCTGAGTGGAGTTACTGATTCCTCCTCCCTGGGCCTTTTCTCAGCCTTCCATGAGGTGTGACGTTGCGGCTAAGCTTGTTTTTGCCGGATCTTGACTTTGGACTTTTCTTCCGTCAAAATAATTGACGTCTTCCTCGAATTAGCTGCCTCTTCCTCCTCAAGACGAACAAAACCGTCAGCTCTCTCGTTCAGCTCGTCCATGGTCTTTGCTGTATTAACCACCAAACTGGTGTGGAACGGCGTCCCCTGATTCATTGCGAGTTTAAATGCTTAGACTGCTGTGGACGGATGACATTCCATTACCATACTTTTAACGAGGTTGAACCGGGTGAGAAAAGCCTGGAGCCGTTCATCGTCATGCTGCTTCATTGTGAAAAAGCTTGATACATCCTTAGCCAGACGTTTATTCCCGTAGTACTGGCTTATGAACTTATCGCATAAGTCCTGGAAACTGGTGATTGAGCCCTGAGCCAGATTCTTGAACCAATTAAGAGTTGGTCCAGCCAAGCTCGTAGGGAAGCATTTGCACATCAAAGGATCATTGTTAGTATTCAGAGCCATTTTCAACTGAATATGGTAGATGTGATCGACCGGATCGGTTGTTCTGTCAAACAGAATAAAAACTAGCATGGAGAACTTCTTCGGATTCGGCGCGTTCAAAATTTCATCAGTGAACGGAGATGCAACCGTTTTTGCTGATGAGCGCAACGCTTCGTTTTCCCTTGAAAACCGTGACAGAAACCCCCGATCAGCAAACCTCCTTTCTGAACTGTGGTAATCAAATGTTGCTAATGAAGGTTGGTAAGGCGGATCGAACGACTTGTCCTCCGCAAACTCACTTCGCCATGGTGATGCAACCCTATATTCATATGCCGTGCTTCCTCCTTCATAATCCGTTCGCGATGTGGCTCCAGATGAACAGATCCTTCTCGATCCTCTACTCGATGGGCATTCAGAGGCAAATCACCGATTATAACTTCATCACGACGTGAATCAACACGATTGACACCTTCTGGATCACCTTGACGATCAGCTTGGGACGGTAAAGCTCCTTCTCCCTCAGGAGGTGGCCTCGGAATTGCAGGAGCCTCACGACGCTCCAGTCCAGCTCGTAGCTCTGCATTTTCTTTCCTCAAAGCGTCGATCATGTTCATCAGCTCATCGAGCTTCGTCTGCTGACTGTTCTCTAAAGGATTTGAGTTCGCCTCTCCGATCATCATTCCAGATCGGAGCAAAGTTATCAACTGTAGATTTCTTGACCAGATCGGAGTTCCGCTAACGCACACACACCAGATCCGAACTCACACTTGCTGAATTCAGTCCGCTACTAGCCGGATTCAGTAATCACAACAGATCGCAATTGTGCAGTTCGCCGGATCAAGTACAGATTTGATCTGCTTGGATCAGACACCAACTTCGCGAAATCAAACGGAGCCTGGACTCATCGAGACAAATCGTATTATTGCCAATGTTGATTTAGCTTTCGCAGATTAAGCGTCTTCCTCGCAGAGTGCTTTGAATCGAATCAATCTGGAACAACATCAATGAATCCTCCCTGTTCTTCCCACAGACGGCGCCAATTGAAAGTACAAAGAATTTCCCCCAATTACAGAGAGAGAAAATTTTCACTCCCAATCTTTCTAACTTCTTTTCCCTCTCGATTTCCCTTATTTATAGACGGTTACAACCTCCTCTGTCCTGGGCCTTATCTGCTCCATTTTATCTAGACTCAACTTTTCTCATTTTAATATGGGCTTCTGCAATAACTTTATGGATCTAGGCCTATCCAGCGTGAACTTGCTCCCTTCTGTCTATCCATACCCGACCTGTCCTTTGCAATACGAATCATACCAAGCCCGGGTCATTTTGGTGTCCTCAAACGATCATCAATTTGAGTTGATACTTGATAATTATTAGATTCAATATTCATTTTAAGTATCTGTTTAACACTGTTGTGATTTTTATTCAGCCTTTTCATAGAGGACTACATGTGGATTATCAAATACTTTTGGTGAAATAGTTTATGTATAAACAATCTATCAACCCCAAAATACTTGTTTCATTTGATAAGTATAAAAATATCTTTTCATAAATACCTTTTAAAATTTTATAATATATATAACTTTCAAAGAATAATTTATAAATATTAAATAGGATAAATACACACAATTTTTTTTAGAACAGGTGTATTGGTCCCACAACACCCGCATTATTAAAATTAGAAGTACTGTTTAAAAGCGAGATTTTAAAACTTACCTCTTGAATCCCTATCAATACTGTTAATACCACTATACTTTTTAGAATAAATGCGCACGGATATTAATCACCATTTAAATAATATAGAGTACTTTTTATAAAATAATCTCCATATATTATTAGACTCATTCCATGAAATTTGTGTCGTTTTGCTCAATGGTCCTAATAATAATTAGGCCGATAAAAGAGTGGTTGATTACATGTGCCAGCGAATATCCCATAGATTTTGTTTAGTTTAGTACTTCTCACATCCCCCTAATTCGCGTTTCGCGAGTGGGTGAACTAAACACAAACACTCTTTCAATGATACACACATATATAATCACGACATGTGGGTCCCTTCCACGTCCGTTCCTTGTCCATTTATTGAGTTCCCACGCTCAAGGGGGCTGCCTGTGGCCCACAAGCTTGACTTGTGGATATGCAGCTGACGTGTCAGCGAGGTGCACGGGACTATCTTCCTGGCAATGTCTGACGTGTACTTTACACATGTCGAGCTGTGTTTACTCGGATGAATGCAACCTTTCATTGAATCCAAGGGATGCAAATGTATCACAACTCATAAGATATGGCTCATACAACCGAATAAGTTGTTGACTGCTCTGTTTCTTGATCTTTATATATTTGCCTCTTTCGGGAAGGATAAAAAAAAGAAAAGAAAAAGTTGTTTGCACTCCAACCATTTAGTATAAAAAAATTAATAATAATAAAAAAAATCATTTAATTTTTGATCATCTTTTGATTTTTTTTTTAAAATAATTAACTTTCTAAAAAATTCTCAACATTTTGAAAATTTATTCCAACTAACACTATTTTAAATAATTTTTTTTTTAATTTTAAAAATTATGATTAAAAAGGGTTTGTACAAAACATTATTTCCCCTTCCATTAGATTTTGACACCATTTGTTAAGTAATGCGGTTACTATTCACTTTACACTTTGTGACTGTATATTACGTTGTAATTGATAAAAGATATATAAATAAATCTCTTCAATTTTAGATCAAACATTAATATTATTAAATATATATATATATATATTTAATAATATTAATGTTTGATCTAAAATTGAAGCTTTAATTTGTAAATAAACTTAATGTTGAATAACAAGTAGATTGTTTCCTTTACAGAAGAATATAACCATTCGATGCTTTAGATTAAAGTAGTGTAACCATCAAATAATCATCTCTTTGTATTACTTTCTTATATATATATATATTTAATAATATTAATGTTTGATCTAAAATTGAAGCTTTAATTTGTAAATAAACTTAATGTTGAATAACAAGTAGATTGTTTCCTCTACAGAAGAATATAACCATTCGATGCTTTAGATTAAAGTAGTGTAACCATCAAATAATCATCTCTTTGTATTACTTTCTGTTTCTAATCAAGCTTTCTTGGTACAAAGAAGATAAACAGTCAGACAATGCTTCGTCACGACATTAACGTTTCTTTGGAATTTACTTAGACTCTCTGCACATGTTTTTTACTATATATTAATCAAAATATCTATCTTCCAGAGTGTGGAAAATTCACGTACGCAAGATTACTACAATTTCCACGTGTCAAAATATCAACATGATCCTTCATCAAAATCAGTTCGAACTTTAACGCCAAACAGACTATATAAACCCAGGTGATTTCATTTCTCACTTCTACCATTCATCCTTGTGTTTGATCATTGTCTTTCATTAGTACTATTTGCCTTCGTTGCGTTTCTATTCTCTCTTAGAAGTTTGCATTCCTTTTCTGGATTGCACTTCTTCTCACTAATTTCTAGCTGTTTCTCTCTCTATACATTTAGCTTATATAAATATATCCGAGTTTTGTTTCATCAGAGCTTCCACGAGAGATTTTGTCTTTGAGTCGGCTACATATACAGAGGTGAGTTTTATGGTGAAATTTTGAGTTGTTCGATTTTGTTGTTGTACTGATCGAACTATATATATAGAGAGAGGTTTTGAAATTCAGGCATTCTCCCAGATGTTTTTGTTGATCTTGAGGTGTGTTTACAGGGATATGTGTTCATGAGGAGGAGGAATTTGGAAGAAATTTCTTTAAATTTCAAATTGATTTGGTGTAAATTTTACAATTTTTATTTTATTTAATCATGATAGTAAGTAAGATCAGCTCCTCTTTTACATGCCTATAGTTATTAAGCTACTGTTGTCTTTCTTTGAAACCATTCGAAGCGTTCAAGAGGTGATTGAAAGAGTTCTGATCTCAGTTTTCGTTTGGATAGATTTTAAAGTTATATATGATTGTTTCACCAATATGCCCTTGGATTCTCTCGACTTTATGTTGTGCTCGGTTTTTCTCTCTGCGATAGCCACTCTCCTCGCCGACTCAATCTGGAATTAAAAGTCAAGTTTGAGAGTCGACTTTTCTTTCGTGATCTTCATCTTAAGGGCTATTAGGCGATTCAAAACAGAAATGATTACATCAGAGCGAATTCAGCTTTCACGCTTAAATTTGTCCTTCTCTGTCTAAATTTCTCTCTTTATGTTCATGTGATTCTATTGGTTTAATTCAAAAGTTAATCGTCTTTTTGCAGTCTTAATAGTGATTATTAATTTTTTTTTTCCCCATGAAAAATGGCAATTTTTGAACTTTTTGCTCCCCTTTTTCTTTTTTTTTTTTATATCTTTCACGACGAAAACGATCCTTTTTCCGATAAATCGATTTCACATAGTCTTTTCTCTCTTCTCTTTTTGTTTTGTTTTGTTTTAGTTCTCTGTTCCTATTTTCCACAAAGCCTGTTGCTAAAGTTAAAAGAAAACTTTGGTCCACAGTATACTGCTGCCTGTTGAAAGTCCAAATCATTTTCTTGCTTTTTGAAGTGTAATTTCTTTGTTGTAGTTTGGTAGTTTGTACTCTTTTGAAAATTTCTTAGAGCTGCCTTAAGTTTTAATTATTGCCAAACTAGACTATAGATGACACAACACGTCCCTCACCCTCAATGGTGGTTTTCTATGTGTTTTTATTTTCAAGATTTTATGTTTACTAAATTCAAAGGTTGACACTTATTTTATTACATTTTACGTACTTAATTAGCGTGTGTGATATTTAGTTTCTATGTATGTCATGCTTATTGCTTTCTTTGTTGATGTAGCTTATTGTAAGCCCATAGTAAGGTGTGCAAAGATGACGGTTACACCGATAATCTCCGTCAATGATGGGAACCTTGTGGCTCATGGGAAAACCATACTAACGGGAGTTCCTGACAACATTGTTTTGACTCCGGGATCTGGTGGTGGACTTGCTGCCGGTTCATTTATCGGTGCCACGGCGTCAGATAGCAAAAGCCTTCATGTCTTCCCTGTGGGAGTGTTAGAGTAAGCAATTAGGAGTAACTTATTTATAAAATTACTGTTGTAAAATTTAAGTCTATCAAGTTAACAGTATTAATTATGTTCATCTCATTCTGTTACAGGGGTCTCCGATTCGTGTGTTGTTTCCGTTTTAAGCTATGGTGGATGACTCAAAGAATGGGGACATGTGGGAAAGATATTCCTTTGGAGACCCAATTCATGCTCGTTGAGAGCAAAGACGTCTCTGAAGGGGAACAAGATGATGCCCCAACCATCTACACAGTCTTCCTCCCTCTCCTTGAGGGCCAGTTCCGAGCTGTTCTCCAAGGCAACGAGAGGAATGAACTTGAGATTTGCCTCGAGAGTGGTGAGTAAATCATGTCCATTATGTTGTGTAGGCTACACCAACATGCTCTGGAAATGTTCTTTTACATAGGGGGGCATATGTTCGGTTAAACCACCACCATCCCATTTGATGAATAGAAAATAGAAATGATCTGTGAGTTCAAAGAAATCGAAATGACTTTGTTTTTTGTGGTGTGACTTGTTTTGTAGGAGATGATGCTGTCAAAACCAACCAAGGGCTTTACCTTGTGTACATGCATGCTGGGACCAATCCCTTTGAAGTCATCAACCAGGCTGTTAAGTAAGTCCTCTCCCTTTACATAGAAATAAATAAATGTTCTTGTGTAAAGAGTGTCTGATTTCATTTTGGATTTGCCCTGTTGGTTCATGGTTCATCTTAAAATGTTTTTTTTTTTTTTTTTTTTTTTTTTTTTTGTGAAACAGAGAGGCAGAGAAACACATGCAAACTTTTGTTCACCGAGAGAAGAAAAAGGTAAGTCCCTTGATTTGTTTTCTTGTATAAAATGGTTCACTTGTTTTGATGGAAAAAGTGGGTTTTCTGAGTGAATCTTGTGATTCTTTTGGTGGATGTGTAGTTGCCCTCTTTCCTTGACTGGTTTGGCTGGTGTACATGGGATGCTTTTTACACTGATGTTACAGCCGAGGGCGTTGAACAGGGCCTTAAAAGGTAAATTTAAATGGAGTACAAAAATTAATTAGATTCTAACTACAAATGGAAGAAAATTCTAAGAATCTATTGAAATTATTAAAGTTGTGCTGTGATATTTACTGCAGCTTGTCAGAGGGAGGGACTCCTCCTCGGTTCCTAATTATAGATGATGGCTGGCAACAGATTGGTAGCGAAGCCAAGGACTCAAATTGTGTTGTACAAGAAGGAGCACAGTAAGACACCTTTCTCTTTCTTCATCTGTTTAAATCAAGCAATATTAGCATCAATATGGTACCAATTGTGTGAAAGATTTAGTAGTCCAATTGCTTAAAATAAGCATAACAAATAGGTTCCAAAACTAGAAATTAAAAAAAGGTAGAAGAGAGAATTAGTTCTTGAATATGTTTAATATGGTACCATGTATATGAGGAGAACGTAATAATGTTGTTAATATAGGATTGCTATTGGGCTGTCAAGAAGACTTGATCTTCGACTGGATCTTCTTATGCATGCACATACTCATCCTCTTTTATTTTGTTTCTATCCAAGTGATAAGTTCTTAATTTATTTAGAATTTGATCTTGCAGATTTGCTAACAGACTGACAGGAATAAAGGAGAATGCCAAATTTCAAAAGAATGGAGAGAACAATGACAAGGCACCAGGCCTCAAGCACGTTGTAGATGAAGCCAAGCAGCACCACAACGTTAAGTAAGTTGTCTAACTTTGTTTTTGCTACTTTGTCTGTGTTTGTTTTTCATATTGAGTTTCACAAACAACTAAGAAGGGCTGCCAACCTTTCTTTCATTTTTTCCTGTCCCTTGAATATCAAAGATTTTAAATAGTTGTTGGTTACCCGCCCTTCTTCTAGAACTTCCACCACCATGAAGCCCAGTTAGATTCAGGCATGATAGTCGTTTTGGTACTTGGGAGGACCCAAAGTACTCTCCTTTGGATCCAGGGAAGTGCTGCAAACCCTTCATTTTTCCCTATCCCTTGAATAGCAAAGATTTGAAATAATTTTTGTTTACGCTGCCCTCGATTAAAATGATGAATTAAATGTCATTTATCATTTTTATGTTAATGTCAAATTTACCGCACATGATGATATTCTTTTTACAGACTGTTGGTACATATGTTACATACAACCAAATGTTGCATGCTGTTCAATTTTAAGAATAATGCAATCTCAATGGTTTCTTGCCCTGATTAGAGAAATTGATTTAACTTGTTGGAATAGTATAATGTTTGATTACAAAGAGGAAAAAATTTACCATACAACATTGCACACTTTACTGATAAGTTTCCTCGACTCTTTTTCGATTTGTACAGGAATGTGTATGTATGGCATGCTCTAGCAGGGTACTGGGGCGGAGTAAAACCAGCAGCTACTGGCATGGAACACTATGACACTGCTTTGGCATACCCAGTTCAGTCTCCAGGTGTACTGGGCAACCAACCGGACATTGTCATGGACAGTCTTGCCGTTCATGGCCTGGGCCTGGTGCATCCAAAGAAGGTATTCAACTTCTACGACGAGCTTCATGCCTACCTAGCTTCCTGTGGAGTAGATGGAGTCAAAGTTGATGTGCAAAACATTATTGAGACCCTTGGTGCCGGCCACGGTGGCAGAGTTTCTCTCACTCGTGCCTACCATCAGGCCCTGGAAGCTTCCATTGCGCGGAACTTTCCTGACAATGGATGCATTGCTTGCATGTGCCACAATACCGACGGGATCTATAGTGCCAAGCAGACTTCTGTAGTGAGGGCTTCTGATGATTTTTACCCTCATGATCCTGCTTCTCACACTATCCATATCTCATCAGTGGCTTACAACACTCTGTTCCTGGGAGAATTCATGCAACCTGATTGGGATATGTTTCATGTAAGTATGTTAGATGTAATGTTCACAGGTTTTGTCGACTTCAATTAAGTTGAACATCATTAAAGCAAGAAATTTTGAGCAATATAAGAGACATTGATGAACAAAACTTCACTTTGCAGAGTTTACATCCTGCTGCAGAGTATCATGCTGCTGCTCGAACAGTTGGAGGATGTGCAATTTACGTCAGGTATTGTAATATTTGATACATTCCCCCCTCCAAACAAAAACTAAAGCCCTAAATTAAACCTGAAGTAATTGTGAACTAATTACAATTCTTTTATGTTTGATGTCTGGATAGTGACAAGCCTGGCAACCACAACTTTGAGCTTTTGAAGAAGCTGGTCCTCCCTGATGGATCGGTGCTCCGTGCAGAATTACCTGGCAGGCCAACTCGTGATTGTCTTTTCGCTGATCCAGCAAGAGATGGGACCAGGTCTGTGACTTAATATCTACTTTCTATTTTAAAACCAACATTTATCTCTTGGAACATTTTGGTTTTATCAAAAAATTGAACTCAAATGATATATTCTTGCAGCTTGCTTAAAATATGGAATGCCAATAAATGCACTGGTGTGGTTGGTGTTTTCAACTGTCAAGGTGCTGGTTGGTGCAAGATCGAGAAGAAAACTAAAATCCATGATGCATCTCCCAGCACCCTCAGTGGCTCTGTGCAGGCCACCGACGTTGATGTTCTGCCCCAGGTTGCTGGCCCAGATTGGAATGGTGAAAGTGTAGTTTTTTGCCACAGATCAGGTAACTTAACTCATTAAATTGTGTATATCATAGTAGTAAATATGTTTAAGGATTCATCTTCCTCACTTTGCCTGCCTTAAGAAGTTCTTTTGGGTGCTTGAACATTTGGGGACTTAAGAAATTATATCCATTTAAAATTAGGAAGAATGTCTTTGCAAAATTTTGTGACTACTTCATACTTAATGTCATCTGTTCAAATTTCAGGGGAAGTAATTAGATTACCAAAAGATGCCTCACTGCCTGTGACACTTAAAGTTCTAGAGTATGAACTCTACCATTTCTGTCCCCTGAAGGTGAGTTTCTTCTAAGAGTAATTTTTCTTTACTACCAAGATGCTCTATTATTCATGGACTATACCTTTTACTCATTAATCTGATACTTCTTTATGCAGGAAATTACAAAGAACATCTCCTTTGCACCAATTGGTTTGCTCGACATGCTCAACACCAGTGGTGCTGTGGAGCAGTTTGAAGTGCATTTGGCTCCAGACAAAAAACCCGAGTCGTTTGATGGAGACGTTATTTCTGAGCCATCCAGTGAAGGCCTATCTCCGTCGGCAACTATTGCACTCAAAGTCAGGGGATGTGGCCGGTTTGGCGCTTACTCTTCTCAGTGTCCCCTGAAATGCACTGTGGATAATGCTAGCACCGACTTCACTTACGACACTGCTACCGGATTACTGACCCTGAGCATTCCTGTAACGGAGGAGGAGTTCTACAGATGGACCGTTGAAATCGAAGTTTAATTAGTTTGAAGAGTAGAAAAATCGAAGTTTAATTAGTCTGCAGAGTAGAAAAATTAGTGTAGCAGCAAAATGTTGTCACCACTGTTTAGGTGCTTAGAGTATGTAGGAGTCTATTATAGCTTAAAGTGATGGGTGGTTGTGAAATCGAAGTTTAATTAGTTTGCAGAGTAGCAAAATTATTGTAGTAGCAAAATGTTGTCACCATTGTGAAGGTGGTTAAGAGTATGTAGGAGTCGATTAGCTTAAAGTGAGGGGTGGTTGTGATTTCAGATGATCTTTTTGTATTGCAGAGAGGAAGTGATGGAGACTTTCCATTGTGGTTCTGTATTGGTTTCCATTTCTCTGTAATAAAGCTCTACCTGTTTGTTCTCTTTTGATCACTCTCAGTTTCTTTTGCTCTGTGGACTTACGGTACCAAGTCACTTGCTCATGAATGCTCTTTGCGACTATTTGTTTGAATAAGCACAATTCAAACAATACTAAACGATGCTCATAAAATAACAATGTAACACTAAAGCATTACATTGAAGATGCGTTTTTATTAAATTTGTTCAAGGCATTGGTGGCATCTCTCTCTTTAATTAAAATTCGTTTGTGGCATGGTATTTGGCAAACAATTTTTTTATTTTTTTTTGTTGTTATCTGATTATTAAAATGTAAAGTCTATCTCAAGTCTTCTCTCCTCGGGTTTTAATTATAGAACAGGGTAAATGTGCTCCTGTGCTCTTAATAGAGTAAAATCAAGCCTGGGCCTAAGTTTTTCATTGGACCCAATTAATCCTTTTTGTTCCTTGCCCTTCGCTGTGTGATCCCACTGGCGAAGCCAATCAAGAGCGTCTCCTTGTAGGGTTGCTGCAATGTAATCGAGAAAACGATATTTTCCCCATGTAGCTTTCTGGTTATTTGACCAAGATGGTTAGCAATTGTGCCCATTCGTCAATGGCTTTAAGATGATCTTTATAAGGGACATTAGTAAGATCAAGATAAGTACCATTTTGTGAAATAGGATACTTATTGAGGTCATCCTTTTGGGTAAAGGTGGGAAAAGTCATATAATCATAATTATATGAAGAAGCAGATGGAATTCTTGGATTTATTTATTTTTTGAAAAGTGATGAAATTCTTGGATTTGTTCACAAATATTTAAGTTTTATGTTCTCACTCGTATTATATATGTTATGATTTGTAGCGAAATTAAACAAAAAACATAATAAATGGATCAAACACGCACACACAATAAGAACACACATATTTACTTGGCTTCCTAAAATTTTAGGGTTATGTCAAAGGGGTTGCAGAAATTTCATTATGATGATCAAAACAACGGATATAGAGTGTTCAGAATGAATAAATACCGTCGCAACAACATAACAAGTGCAAAAATTACCAAAATTTCCCCCTCCAAAAAAAAAAAAAAAAAAAAAATAGTTCTGGGTAAGCCCCCGAATCTCCACCTTCCTCTAATTAGATCCGCAAAATTGAATCTTGGTGTACAGTATATTTCAGGCTCCACATTAACCATCACAAGATTCACAACTAACTCAGCTCAGTTTAGGAATATGTGCATGAGCTCAAGTTTTGCCATCAATGTTCAAAGCTACTGTGTTACATACGCAGTCAATAACAAAAGTTTTATAAGGACTTCATAGAATGAAAAAAAAAAAAAAAAAGACAAAAAGAAAAAATCTACAAAACAAATATTGGGATTATTTGTTTTAAGTTGACTTAACTTACCCAAAAGAAAAATAATAAAAAATTTAAGGAATAAGAAGTTAGACCTGGTCAGTTGGTTTATATACACGTACCATTTGAGGTCCAGTTTAACCATGTCATCAAAATATATACGTACCATTTTGATTACTCACCACTAACTTTTTATATAAGGCCCAAATAAAATTTTACAACTACTCGTCACAAGGGCTATTAGTAAAAAATATATGGTTGGGCTTCCCATTCAAATTAATGAAAAGGTATTTGCGAATGGATTGTTGAAAGGTTCAGTAATATATATATATATATATATATATATATATATATATATATATATATATTTGTATTTTTTGGTGTTTGATTGTGTATTTTTTGGTCTTTGATTGTGTTTGATTGTCATAAAATATTTTCAATTTTTTGGTGTTTGATTGTGTTTGATTGTCATAAAATATTTTCAATATATATATATATATATATATATATATATATATATATATTAAAACTTAACAAAAATAATTTATTCATCAATTTTAGTAAGTTATTTTGCACTTCCCATCCGATAGACTTGATATCAACCTCAATTTAGACCTTTGTCAAATATTGAAAAAATATATATATTTACCTAAAAAGAAAAAAAATTACGTGAAAATTCTCATATTTTACGGTTGCATGAGCTCAAGTTGGTGCCATCAAAGTTGGAAGCTACTCATATATATTTCAACATATATAATTTAATTTCAAACCTATAAATTATTATCAAATAAAAAAAAATTATTTACCCTATGTTACTTTGAAATTAATCTAATTAACTAACAAATATTTTTGACTCTTTTATCTCAAATGGCATAAACCTCCTCGTGTGAGAAGGATTTTTCCGCTAAGGCGTTTATGGTTCATCAAAACAAGCACAAAGACCTTAAAATCATTTGCAGAGGCTGCCCTAGGAGATTTCTCGACAAAATTGAATTATCTGCCCACTGCAAGAATATGAGTCACTCATTGAAGATGCATTAGGGTTTCATTCTTGATCTTTTTGGAGATAGTGAGTTTCCCGAATTGACCATAAACTCTCATAAATTTTTTTTGCTAAAATACCCTATAATATTAAGATCATGGTTTTCGACCAGTTGTGTATATATAATGTTTGTAAAAATTGATTTTTTTGGACTTTAGAATTCACTACACGTCTTTAGAGCATTTTCTCTCTAAAATGACATTTTGTCAATCATTTTTCACATCATCATACCTCTACAAACCAAAGATTTCTCCCTTGTTCAACTTCTCAAACCAAAGATTTCTCCCTTGTTCAACTTCTCAAACCTTGGGACAAAGCTCTTACAATGAACGATTAAGATTTGTACAAGTTAGAGGTTCTAGAATGTTCCAAAGAATAATCTATACATGACTTAGATACATCTAGACAGTTTTGTACAAATTAGTATAACCTTGTAGAACATTATTAAAACTCTATACACCTCTAAAGAATTACAAACCGGACCATATTTGTATAGAGAAGTCTAAAATGTAATTCCCCGATATTTTAAAGGATTTATTAATTAGAATTAATTACTTTTATTTTATTTTTAAATGATATATTTGATTTAATTTGAATTAATTGCGTTTATTTTAATTTTTAATTGATTTGTTTTATTGAGTGCTTAGATTAATTGTTTTATTTTATTTATATTTCGTGAATTATTGATATGATGATTGTTGTGTGTGTGCTTAATTATTGATTGAAGTGTTGGCGTGTTAATTTTATTAGTATGGTGTAACTTGGTTGTAATTTATTATTTTGTTTATGTGCTTAGTGTAATTAGTTTTTAGTTTTTATTATTTAAGTGTCTATTTAATTATTTGATTTATTTAAATTAATTGGATTTGGGATTAAGGGAAGTTGGACCAAAAGATGTGGTATTGGGCTTGTATGAAGCTTTATTGGGTTAATTAATAAAGGCCCATGATTATTTAATTATTTAAATGATCATTTTTGTATTAATTATAAATATAATTAATTAATAATTGTTATGGAAAGATATATATAAAGATATATATTTATGGATATATATAGGTCTATATGATTTAATTAACCAATGAATTAATTATGGAAGGTATATATATATATTTGTAATATAATATGTGTTTATAGATATATATTATTTAAGAATTATTATTTTATTTGAAAGTCCTAGTAAGAATAGGATTTGGATTCTAATGTGTATAAATATACGCATAAGACTTTAGGGTTAAAAGTTTACACGTTAAAAAAAATAAGAGAGAGAGAAAAGGAGAAGGCCGACAAAGAGGAGGCCAGATTATAGAAAGAGGACATCGGATTTGGAAGAGGCAATCAAGGCTTGAAGCTTCGGTTTTGTTTTGAAACCTTCAGGCGAGTTTTCTCTATCTTTCCTCTTAGAACCCATAAGGATTTCACCTTGAGTATCAAGGCTTTAATTTAATTAAATTGTTAATTTAAATCATGGTTAGAAGGGAGTTAATAACAAAAATATTAAGTTAATTTTATTTGGTTAAATCATGATTAAATTGGAGTATTAAAAGCATGATTGATTATTATTTTTATTTTTTTGGAATTATAGGATTTTAATTATGTATATAGGTTGTATATATTTAATATCAACTGTTTATGCTTGATCTTTAACCCATGAGAATTATTTAGGGTTTATAGAATTTTTTGAGAATTTTCTGTAATTTTTTAAAAAAAAATTTAGAGTTGTTTTATATTTTTCTGGAATTATTTAGAATTATTTATATATATTCTGGGCATATATATATATATACATATATATATATGAGGTTCTGTTGCGGCGGCATAAAAAGAATAGGTTAGTAATCCGGTGTGATGCGGCGCATGCTATCACGGTGCACATGGAATCTGGGCCTCTGATGGGTCTTGATTAATGGGTAGTTGATCTGGTGTGGATGGGTACATATGTGCTCATGTGAGATAATCTGGTGTGGGTGTATACATGTGAGCTTCGGTGAGATAATTAGGTGTGGATGCATTCATGTGAGCTCAAGTGAGCTAATCTGGTGTGGTGCATTTGTGTGAGCTCAATGATATAATCTGGTGTGGGCGCGCTCACAGTAACCATTGAGCACAACCTATTATTATTCTTGTTTTGTTACTCAAAATTTAAAAGGTCATAACTTAATTATTTTAAATCGAAATTGGGTCATTCTTGAGCTCAAATTCAAGGATTTTTCGTCCTCTTTCCAATGGTATCAATTTCATTATCAGATTCTCATCATAGTAGGATATATTTATGTTTTAGTGAGACGATGTAAGAAAATTATTTACCGAGATGGAGTATTTATGGGAAACTTTATCTGACGATAATTCGTGGCATTTAAATTGAATAAATATAATTCAATTAATATATATATCAATTAAGATGATTATTATTATTATTCTTATTTGATATATCTAGATTTGATGGTTAGTATTCGTGATATACTTATAATCTGCATGAGAAGTTTATGTATGAATTAGCTATTATTGAGTCTAAAGTTGGTACATGTTTGAATTGTAGGCATGAATGAGTTGCCTTAGGTGTAAATATAATGCCTAAATATTCGTATAAATAAAATACATACATAGAAAATATGGATGAGTTGCTAATTTAAAAATATAAATATATATGTTTGTGGA